AACTCAAGCCTGTGTCTTGACCTTGAGTCCAGTGTTCTTTTGCTGTCACCTTAGCTGCCACCTTCTGTATCCGGGACCAGGAATCCTCTGGGAATGGTCGGGAGTCTTCCAGGACAGCCCTGGGTTGGATCTACCCCACCCAATGGTTTGGCCAAAACCCAACCAGACTCTGTCAGAGCTGCAGGGACCATTTCTCATGCCACTCGACCACTGCTCAAACTGGAACTGATGTTTACTATGTGCCAACTGCCTTACACTTTGGTTCACTGAATCTTCCTTGTAAGCTCAATAATCCAAATACCACTATCCCCATCTGACAGGTGGTTACACTAAGGCTTAGAAAAGCTAATCTAGCCCCAAGATCTTAGATACAGTTAAGAATAAAGGTTCAGTGCATGTAGCTCAGTGAGTAGGGCACCAGCCACATACACTGAGGCTAGTGGCTTCAAGCCTCGCCCAGGCCTACTAAACAACGACAACTCCAACCAAAAAATAGCTGAGTGTTGTGGCATGCACCTGTAGTCCCAGCTACTCAGAGGCAAGAGAGTCAGAGTTTCAGGCTGCTGTGAGCTTGGACGCCACGGCACTCTACCAAGGGTGACATAGTGAGACTCTGTCTCAAAAAAAAGAATAGGGCTGGGGGCTAGGAGCAGTGGCTCATCCCTATAATCCTAGCACTATGGGAGGCAGAGGCAGGTAGATTACCTGAGGTCAGGAGTTCGAGAACAGCCTGAGCAAGAGCGAGACCTCATCTTTACTAAAAACAGAAAAATTAGCCGGGAACTGTGGTGGGCACCTGTAGTCCCAGCTACTCTGGAGGCAAGAGGATTGTTTGAACTCAGGAGTTTGAGGTTGCTATAAGCTGTGACACCATAGAATTCTAGCCTGGGCGACAGAGTGAGACTCTGTCTCAAAAATATATAAAAATAGGCTCAGTGCCCATAGCTCAGTGAGTAGGGCACCAACCACATACGCCAGGGCTGGCATGGGTTCAAGCCTGGCCCAGGACTACTAAAGAACAATGACAACTGCAACCAAAAAAATAGGCAGGCGTTGTGGCAGATGCCTGTAGTTCCAGCTACTCAGGAGGCTGAGGCAGAAGAATCACTTAAGCCCAAGAGTTTGAGGCTGCTATGAGCTGTGATACCACAGCACTCTATCGAGGGCAACAAAGTAAGACTCTGTCTCCCTCCAAAAAATAAATAAGTAAATATAGGGCTGAGAGTCAAACCCAGGTCTGGCCATCTCAGAAGTCTAGCCCTTCCCACCACACATGGTGTATATGCTCCCAACTCCTGCCTCTGTCCTCCACCCCTCCTGTAGCCTAGCCAGTCTATAGGTGCTGGCTCACCTGTGGGTCCTTGCCCTTGAAGCTGCACTGCTGTTTCCTCTCTGCATCTGCACTCCACTGCAACTGTGGAGTGAGAAAGGGGAAGGTAAGTATGTAGGAGGAATGGATGATCTGCTGAGCCTCCCTCCGCCCCCATCCTCGAGCATCCCATCTATCTTCCCTTTGCCATCCTCTGACCAGCCCAGGCCGCCCAGGCAATCCCTCCTACCTCCTGGTACTCTCCGTTTGGCAGGAAGCTATTGTTGCTGCTGAGTGCAAAGAGGGCCTCTCGGGCACCCACATATAGAGTACCACCATCCCTGCTCAGCAGGAGGGCTGTGTAGTTGGAGACATGTTGAACTTCAAATCTGAGGACAGGACGCTCTTCAGATCCTAGGGAGATGAAGATGGATGTTACCCGGGAATCTCTCACACCAACTTCTAGAATAGGCCAGTTTAACCGAAGGCAAGTCAGTAAGGCAAGGCTCAGTTTAACCAAAGGCAAGTCAGTGGGTGGCAAGAGCTCAGGGGAAGGGGGTCAGTTTTAAAGGGTAATAGCATTCCTAAACGTGCAGACACTAGATAAGAACAATGCACAGAAATGTACATTGTACATGGAACATTAACTGCAGCACCATTCACATTAGTTAAAAAAAAAGGGGAGAGTCAGTCCTGTCTTAGGAGACTGGGTAAAAATAAATTATGATTCCCTATCCAATGGACACTACACTATGCAGCTGATGAAAATGCTTTATCAGAACTCCCGAAAAATAGGCAAGAAAGGCATAGTCAGAATATGAAGCAAACTAAAATATAAAGTAATGATTTTTGAGCACAAAATACTAAGAAAGGAAAATACGTTTAACATTTTCCTTTGACTGACATTAGACCCAAAGGGAAGGGTAGTTGTGCAGCTCACTACTTGGCCCTAAGGTGACCACAATTTATGCTCATGGAGTAATGCAGATGCCGGGCAGTGATCTGCATGCAGAGCAGCTCCCCACAGTTACTCAGGGGAGAGTGACAGGGATGAGACAGAATTGTCCCCAGAGATGTAAATATAGGACAGACAGATGTCAGGGGAGGGGGCGCCTGATATCTCCACTTGAGAGCAAGAATGGTCACGAGGTGCTGTCAAAAGCCAATGGAATAACAAACGGAGGAGCAGAAGTTTGTATGTGTTATTTAAGTTGCAAAGCCACTCAATAAAGGACTTGCACAGTACAGCGGCTGCACATGTTGGGAGAAAGCAGGACGGGCAGTGCAAGAGAGGAGAAGCCTTACACTTCTCACCAAGTCAGGGAGCCAGATAAGCCAAGAAACAGTTCACTTAGGTGTACACAGTTCACTTAGGAAATGGAAGAAACAAAAGAACAAGAACACTAGATGATTAAAAGTTGTCCCCCCCCCTTTTTTTTTTGGCTGGGGGTGGGTTTGAACCTGCCACCTCCGGCACATGGAGCTGGTGCCCTACTCCTTTGAACCACAGGCACAGCCTTATTTTTGTTTTTTTTTTAAGAGTCTCGCTCTGCCACCCATGCTAGAGTACTGTGCTCTCTGCCTAGTTCACAGCAACCTCAGACTCCTGGGCTCAAGCGATCCTCTTGCCTCAGCCTCCCAAGTAGCTGGTACTACAGGTGCCAGCTATACTATCCAGCTAGTGTTTCTACTTTGAGTAGAGATGGGGTTTCACTCTTGCTCAGCTTGGTCTCAACTCCAGAGCTCAAGGGATCCTCCTGCCTCAATCTCTCAGCGTACTGGGATTATAGGTGAGAGCCACCACATTCAGCCTAAAAATTACCCCTTTTAAATAAGCCTAGGGCAGGGTACAACTGAGACAGTATTTGCTTTTTATGATAAACTATTCTGTATTTAAAAAATGCATGTATCCTCGATACATATTTTAAATATCTTTCATTGTTGCAGTATATAATACCAAGGAAAAACATTAATTATCCACCACTAAGTGAAAATGAGGATTATAAAATAAATGTTATATATGGTCAGATTCCATTTTTGTGGAAAAAATATAAACATAGAAAAAACTCAGAAAAAGGCCTGCAAGGTGGCTCATGCCTGTAATCTCAGCACTCTGTGAGTAGAGGGTAGACTGCTTGAGCTCACAAGTTTGAGACCAGCCTGAGCCAAAGTGAGATCTCATCTCTAAAAATAGCCGGGTGTTGTGGTGGGCACCTATAGTCCCAGCTATTTGGGAGGCTGAGGCAAAAGAATCGTTTAGGCCCAAGAGTTTAAGGTTGCTGTGAGCTATGACACACAGCACTCTACCAAGGGCAACAAAGTGAGACTTTGTCTCAAAAAAAAAAACTCAGAAGGATGTGTAACAAATTGTTGAAAAGTGCAATCTTTGGTAGGATAGGTAATTTTCTTTTCCTTTTCACTTGTTATCATTTTTGGATTCTATCACTAGGTTTTACTTACGTAATGTGAGAGATATAAATTCAAAAGAAAGAAAGAAATATACCCACTAGAGTACTGGCTATGCTCTGAGTAACTAATTTTTTTTGTTGTTTATTTTTGTTGCCCTTGGTAGAGTGCCATGGCATCACAGCTCACAGCAACCTCCAGCTCTTGGGCTTAGGCAATTCTCTTGCCTCAGCCTCCTGAGTAACTGGGACTACAGGTGCCTGCCACAATGCTCAGCTATTTTTTTGTTGCAGTTTGGCCAAGGCCAGGTTTGAACCCACCACCCTCGGTATATGGGGCCAGTGCCCTACTCACTGAGCCACAGGTGCTGCCCCGTAACTAATGTTTTGGTGAGAAATTATTTTAAAAATTCTAAGCAGCTGATGAGAACAGAAAAACAAGCAAAAAGCAGCCACGCTGACCACCTTAGGGCATACCCTGGCTGACCAGCCACTTATGACCCCCTCCAACACACACAAAGTGTCATGCAGCTGAGAAAGCACAAAGTACAACATGTCCAACTAAGCACCTTCAAGGATGACTTCATGTGTATTTACATGTCAAGTGTATTTATTTACATACCCCAGCCTTGTTCCACAAAGGGTGAGGAAGCAAAGAAAAGAAAGCATTAAACTCAGGAGTGGAGAGAACACACATCAAAGGAAGCATCTTCCCCCAGCAAGTCATTAGGCCTTCGTGCAGCTACATGCTGCACGGCTTGTGCAGGGCCTCCTGTGGCCAAAGAAAAGAAGAAATGAAGTTGCTTTGTCCTCCCCATCCAAGAGGACACACATCAGCCTTGTTGGGGAAGCTCAGTTTTTCACCTGACAGCTGCTGCTGGAGAAAGCCCTTCGGTACAGCTTCCCGGTTTGCTGAGACCCAGGATCCCCAATCAACAGGATGACAGGGTCCCAGAGCCATTCCTCACATTGCATGGTAAGGGGAAGTTGTAGAGGACATGGAGAGACCAATGACCTCTGAGCAGGATGATTTGCGGCTTGGGGGTGGACCCTTGGGCAACTCATCCGCAGGTGTTCGGTGCAGAGAAAGAGCCCGAGCCAGTAGCAATCCTTTAGCATGCAGTCATTGTCTAATACTCCCCTCACCTGCCATGTACCATCTCAATAAAAGGCTACTGTGGAGGTTGCTTGTGGCTATCCTGCCTTCAAGGTTAGCCCACCTCCAGCAAGCTTGTACTTCCAATCTGCGTCATGACTGGTTCCTTCCTGTGGTGACAGAGACCAGGGCCTTAGGGGTTGCAACATCTGGCGTATCCAGCAGGATCTGGCAGGACACCAGGGACGTGGAATGAAGGGGAAAGGGACACTCGGAAGTAAGTGAAGCCTTTGGCAGACAGTGGGAAGCAGTCCAAAGGGAAACTCTACTCAGGGCAAGTAAGACCTTTGGCCAATCTAGAATCAAGGGAACCTCGCTCAGAGTAAGTGAGGCTTTTGGTAAATAATAAGCAAAGATATTTTGAGAATAATGGGTAACTTCCCATTTGGGGAGTTGAGATAATTAGAAACTGAAAGAAGGTGATGTTCAAGCAGAATTTGAAGGTGAGGAGAATAGTGAGGTTCAGAGGGAATCTGAATCTAAGGAGAACTGGGAACCAGGAGCATATGGAAGTTTTTCTGGCCCTTCTTCTGGTGTGAGGAAGTATATGATACAGACATGACTAAGCAAGAAATTACCTCTGTGGCCATTATGCCACTCAGATCAAAGAATGGGTGAATAGTCTCACAGTCAGAAATGCCAACCTAGAGCACTCTCAGTGCCTCCCTCTATGAATGAACCACCTATGAATTCTGTTATGAAGGCTCTATTAGAAGGGCATAAAACCAGTGACTTTAAGTGGGAAGACACTTTGGGGCTTTTTCCGGTCACAGTCACTGTTATTTCTCCTGGTCTGCAACACCCTCAAGGTGGGGGCCAGTGTTTTGTTCACCATATGATCACTTTTGCGGTTCTAAAAGATTTGAAACAGGCCGTACACAGTATGGTATGCAATCCCCATTTTCTAGAGGTCTGTTACAGGGACCTGCATGAGAGCAACAACTTATTCCTTATGACTGGTACATAACAGCCAGAACTGTTCTTGAATCTGGACAGTATTTACAGTTCAAAACCTGGTGGAAGGAGGAGGCTGAACTGATGAGTTGCCAAAACCAGCAGAGAGGAGTACCTGTAACATCAGAACAGCTCGCCGCAGGCGGCGCCTGTGGCTCAGTGGGTAGGGCACCCGTCCCACATACTGATGGTGGCAGGTTCAAACCCAGTCCCAGCCAAACTGCAACAAAAAAAAATAGCTGGGCATTGTGGTGGGCACCTGTAGTCCCAGCTACTCGGGAGGCTGAGGCAAGAGAATCATCTAAACTCAGGAGTTTGAGGTTGCTATGAGCTGTGATGCCACAGCACTCTACCGAGGGTGATAAAATGAGACTCTGTCTCAACAACAGAAAGAAAAGAACAGCTCACTGGGTCTGGTCAGGGGCTGGAGATTCCGAATCAACTTTAGTATGATGATATAGGTGTAGTCCAGACAGGGCTGTGTTGTCTTAGAGCCTGGGAAAAGGTTCAGTTTCCTGGAGACATCTCTAAATCTTTCATAAGGTGCCAGCCACATACACCTGAGCTGGTGGGTTTGAATCCAGCCTGAGCCTGCCAAATAATGATGACGACTGCAACCAAAAAATAGCTGGGCATTGTGGTGGGCGCCTGTAATCCCAGCTACTAGGGAGACGGAGGCAAGAGAATTGCTTGAGCCCAGGAGTTGGAGGTTGCTGTGAGCAGTGATGCCACAGCACTCTGCCCAGGGCAACAGCTTTAGGCTCTGTCTCAAAAAAAAAAAAAAAAAGAGATAATGCAATCTAGGAATGTACCTTATACTGACTTTCAAGCCTGATTAAAAACTGCAATAGATAAGGCCGTTGCCCAGCCGGAGGTCAGAGACATGCTTTTCCAAACTT